AGGGTTTGGTCTGGTTGCCCTGGAAGCAATTTCAGCTGGAGTGCCAGTTCTTGTTTCCAGTGAATCTGGGCTGGCTGAAACTTTAAAGGAAGTGGAAGGTGGGATGACAGTGGTAGTCGATTCAGATGAGCCACGGGACTGGGCTAGAAAAATCCAAGAGTTATTCGAGCAGACGCCAGCAAAAAGACATGCCAGTGTTATGCTTCTCAGAGAAAAGTATGGAGAGATTTATACCTGGGCGAAGGAGTGCAAGAGATTTGAACAGATGATCGATGGATTGATTCAGAGGCCTTGCAGAGCTCCTCCTTCAAGTTGTGTATTGACAGGTTCGCTTTTACATATTTCACTTGATTATTCCTTATACATATTACAAATTGAACATAAGGCTTAAACCCATGAGGTTGGAAAGTGTCAAATTGTGGTACCTGCCAGTGGGAGGTTAAAGGTGTTGTGTTTATGTATGTGATTAAGGACTATGACTGAGTAAAAGAAAGCAAACTAAAAACTGAATGCACAGTGTGCGATATTATTTCGAAAGCTGTTCACAAGGTCTTTTAACCATATTCAGACTGGAAGGTGGTTGGGGTTAGGGAGTGGGGGTGGGGGTGGGGGGAGAGGGAAGGGTGCCTGCTCTGTCTTCAGCCATTTATAATTTTTTGAGCAAAATTTGTAGGATGGTCAACAATTGTGTGGGGACTACTTCAAGTAAGCAAAATGGTAGTTCTTCATCAAAATGTTGTGCATCACATGTTAAAATATATTATTGTGACTTGCAGTGTATTTTATTTATTGTTTTATCAGACCAAACTGGAAATATTATCACTGTGAAGGTGGAAGCAGTTACCTCTGCACAAGATAAAGGACTGGTGCAGACAAACAGGAGAAGAAATCCATTATCAGGTTAGTGCAGTCAAGGTTTCAATGAGTGCCTGGGGCCGGCAAAACTCACCGGCCACTTGACATGATTTTGCCATCTACTTTGACTGGGAACTTAAGCCTGGTTCTCACATCCCGCCGACCTACCCGCGACATAGTCATTGGTTGCAACTGATAACGTTCGGCGATCTGTAACAGTGGGTCCCTGGCACATATACGATGCGTCACTGACATTCTAAAATTTGTGCAAAATGCAAATCGAATTGGTGCAATTGTCAACCATTCCATCTGTAAATGGGCAATTCCACCATCATAGACATTACATTCAGACTTAATTTTGAAACTTTAATTTAGCACAGACAAAGAATAAAAAGGAGTTGTCTAGTTTTCCATTTATGAACATGTTTGTGCCTACTGACATGTTAACTGGGCTGTACAATTTTTTTAATTGACTGATTTCTGTTAGAGATATATAGAGTAAAAAACCGGGAGGTCTAAAACACAGGTCACGGGTCATTATTTCACCAATACTTGAACAACCCTAACTCCTTCTTAATGCTAATCTTAGGTCTAAGTACTACACTAAGACAATGTTTTAGGCCTAAATACTACACTAAGACAATGTTTTAGGCTTTTAAGGTTGTTTCGATATTGGTAAAACAATGACCTGTGACCTGTGTTTTAGACCCGCCACAAAGAAACACTCTCGTGGACATTACATAAAAAGAACAACCACAATATTGAGTGCATTAGTAGTAATTCAAAATTACTGTGAAGTATCGGGGTTTTGTATGAACTGTTCCAAATATATACAGTTTAGTGGTTGTGTGACCCAAAAAGGCTGATTTCATTTGAACTGATCATGACATTCACAATTTGGAAGGGTACTTGAACTTAAACATTGTGGACATTACAACCAACATTGTGGACATTACGCTGTGTGGTTTTTCGCCACTCTGGTTTGCCATTTGGAAGGTATAAAAGCCATAGTTTTAGGATCGGTGCAGCTTCATTGGCTGCTGAACAAGGGCTCTCTGATGCTCAAATATGGTTAATGGGAAGATGGAAGTCAAATGCCTTTAAACAATACATTTGGATTAACTCCTTTATGGCCTCTAGTGTTGGTACCTAAGATTACAGAAAGCAATTTTGTTTTTAGATAACTTGCATAGGCAATTTGCCGGGCAAATTGCTGAGGTGATGACGTAAGGTTTGAGTCCTTCCACTTTTTGGGATTGTGGATAATTAGCAGGGCTAATTATTTATGTATCCCTTGAATTATCACTCATTGTTTTTGGGGCTTTTCTGGTGCAGGAAGTTATGCTCCTCTTTAGAGAGTAGAGAGGGGCCTCTTTGCAAGCAAAGCAAGGGCAATCAACAGGGTTGGTTGCTTTTGACTACCTAGAGGTAGAAGTAGTGGCAATTAGCAGGGCAACTGTTGGTATTTCTGGCTCCAATAATTGTTATTTAGGGACTTTTAGTTAGGATATTGATTCCATTTCATTTTGTGGCTCTGTGGCTATCAATGGCTTGGGTGGGGTGGCCCTGGGGAGGGCTGTGGCGATTTCGTGCCCTCACCTTTTTGAGGCAGACAGAACTTTGATTGTAACTTTATATTTTAAGGTTCAAATTAAAGCGGCTTTGTTTTAACAAAGCCAAAATTTTCCCATATTGTTGTGTTTGTTAATTGTGTGCCCAACAAACAGAACATGCCAGTGATAGCCAAATTGTTGCACTGGTTTAATAATTTTATTGGCAGGCATAATGCATAAAGGAATTTATTTGTTTTACGAATAAAAGATTTCATGCATTGCCCCGCCTATTTTATTCTTACCCAGAGCTTGGCGAACTTGGCAGTCTTAAATATTATTCGCTAGATTCAACTTAACCATTAGGGGATTGGGTCAAGGCCTTAGTTTGATTCGGTGTCGTGTACATGGTGTATGTGCTGTCATAAACAAACAGTTGGAATTCAGATTGATTTTAGTGGAGGCATAGAGTTAGTTTGCTGAGTTTTCCCACCTCCACCCCAACTTGCCTCCTAGGTTTTAGTGAGGCAGTTTTGTTTTTTTTTGAATTCCCTTATTCTGGGACGTTTTTGATATTGTTGTAAGAAAGCAGTTCAAATTATACTTTAGATCTTTTCATTTCAATTATTTGTTTTGAATTTGCTCTTATCTTGATGAGCTTGAACTTGGTTTTAGATGGTGATTGCGATTTCCTGCCCTTACCTTTGCGAGGCAGATGGAACTTTGATTGTAACTTTATATTTTAAGGTTTAAATTAAAGTGGCTTTGTTTTAACAAAGCCAAAATTTTCCCCATATTGTTGTGTTTGTTAATTGTCTGCCCAGCAAACAGAGTGTGCCATTGATAACCAAATTGTTGCACTGGTTTAATAATTTTATTGGCAGGCATGATGCATAAAAGGGTTTAAGAACTGTTAGAAATGTCTATGTTCCTCAGAATGGCAGAACCTCTTCTATTGTTGAAATTTCAGATTAGTTTACAACCCACTTGAAAGCTGCTGTTTTTGTCAAAATGTTTGTTAGGTGAAACTAGAACAAATCTAGAAGGACATATGGTCATGTGGTGCAATGGTTGAACTTTTAAGAACCATTTCAAAATGTTTTTACTTAACTTCAAGAAGGGTAACATCCACAAAGTAATGTCCAGAACAATGTTTTGCTGCCATTATTTCGAAAATGTTCTTGTTTACTGGAAATTTTTCTTTACCAAAGTGTTTCTATTGGATATCTAGCTGTGTGACAAGAATGGTTTTAAAATCTTTCATGTAGTTACTTTCGAAAAGAAAAAAGATTGTTAAAATGTTGCAGACGTTATGTAACCTCAGCGATGAAACTAATTTTTGTTATGTTTACTTTTTATAAAAGTTCAGGGTGAAGTTTATATCACTTATGTATTAACTCCAGTGAAGGACTTTTTCTGATACAAGTGTCTGACTCCCTGAAAACCCCAGGCAAGCCGGCGGTCAATGCCTCAGGGACAGATTATGATTCAGTGATAAATGTTCACATATGCTGTAATGTCCCAGGTATGTCGGCAGCATATGAGAACCAGGCTTTACCTCAAATTTTAGGAATAGCAAGAGAAACATTTTGCTGCAGAACATAAGCCTTGGGTTGTGCGTACATGAATCAAATTTGTCAGCGCAATGCACAATGAAGCATGATGAGGCAGAGGCTGTCGTTTATTGCCACTGTTGGAAATGATATTGAGTTTGAATTTTTTTAACTCAACTTGTGGAAATAATAATGAAATTATAGTTGATTCATTTTATTGCAGTTCAGTTAAATAGAATTGCAAGCCAAAATGATGCTGCAATGTGACAATTAAATACTAAAGGAATGAAAAGCAAGTATGTTGCATCTTAATTATACATGAACTTCCAAAGAGACTTACCTTGCAATCAGAAAGTTTTCAGTACACTCTTGTTAATAGACCCTTTTTAAAAGTGGCTGCCAATCTAAAAATTATTCTGTCTTTTTTATGCATTTAAATTAGCCTCGCTCAATTAGACTTGTCTGAAAGTAAAAATTTTAAACCTGCAAATGAATTTTTAATCGGCAGTCATTTATGAAAAGAGTCTTTAAAGTGTATAATGGTCTCCAACAAAATCACTTTTGTGTGCTAGAAATGCAGCTGAATGCACCTCAATGCACATATATGCACATACATTTTGAAAATTTTCCAAGGCCCTGTGAGCACCCCATCTCTCATGAGCAGGAGCAGGTAACCCACTTTGGGACTTTTCCCCCATAAGGCCGCCTTTATTGTGACCAGATGTACTCCACGTACCTCAAGATTTCCTCCTGCTACTTTAGTTCAACTTGAAAACCTGGAAGATGAGAGATAAATCCAAATGCAGTGGCATAATATTTCACTTCCCATGGTGCCCAGATTGCATGGTGACCACATTTTGGCAGAAAACAGAACATTTGAGTGTTTACTCTTATGATGGCCACACTCCATCAGGTGAAAGATAGCATTTACACAGCTAAAAACAAGAACATGATTCTCGAGATGAAAATCTTGCTATTTCACAATAATATGTAGAATAATAGTCTAACAGTAGCTTGTTTCCGTGTTTACAAGGCATCAAGCATGCGCACATGTTTCAGCAAGTACTCTTTTTTTGCCAGATTTCATTCTGGTGAATATGTAAGTAAGGGCCAGGGTCAGACCATGAAATCCACCACGCAGTTCTCGGAAAAACTATTGCGTTCACTGTCTTGGCAGCTGTACATTTCGGAATTTGAGCTCCCTTTATGGGTTTTCAGCATATTGAAATAACATCTTCATCCAAAATTCAAGTGAACTTTTTTTGCGTTGTACTATCTGAAAGCCTCAGCGTATAAAATCACTCAAGAAAAAACAAAAGACGGTGCCACAGGAACGTTCCCTACTCAGAGATTTAATTCGAAGACAGGACATAATTGCTTGGCTGAATTTGAAAATGTTGAATCTATTGTTTCAGTTCTGCCATCTGATTGGTTTTCATTGTCTCGGTGGCCCCGGTTCCAGTAAATGCACTGTAACTAACCTTCGATTCACAGAACTAACCCAAGGATATATTATTATTTTAACTAGAGGTTAAGTTAATTCAACCTGAAGTTAGGATTTAACCATCTTGTGAACAACTGGACCCATGACTATACTAGACTATACTGGACAGGGGCAAGAAAGTGGCCATTAGAGAGGATTCAATAATTGGGCTAATGCCAGGGAAAGTACATGTGATGTCTAAACATTCTGGACATACTGCACTTACTAAGGTTACAGGCATGATGTCTTGACACGTTTGAATATTAAGCTTGTTCTCTGGAGACATTGTGGCTGCACTGCTCTAGCTGATCTTGTAATCTGCAGCTCCCAGGTTCAAGCTCTCCACCCTCAGCTACTAGATGGATTTGTTCCTGGTTGTCCAGAGTATTACTTGATCCTCACTGGGTAGGATAGG